TTGTTTTAGTCCTGATTTAGTCCTGGTCTAGTCTTGTTTTAGTCCGGGTTTAGTCTTGTTTTAGTCCTGATTTAGTCCTGGTCTCGACCTGGTCTCGACCTGTCTAGTCCTGGTTTAGTCCTGTTTTAGTCCTGTTTTAATCCTGGTCTAGTCCTGATTTAGTCCTGGTCTAGTCTTGTTTTAGTCCGGGTTTAGTCTTGTTTTAGTCCTGATTTAGTCCTGGTCTAGTCTTGTTTTAGTCCGGGTTTAGTCTTGTTTTAGTCCTGATTTAGTCCTGGTCTAGTCCTGGTTCAGTCCATTATCTGTTTTTTTCATTTCGGTTTTGGAGACAAATAATGAAGAAAATTGTTTTATTTTTTTTTTGCTTTCTTATTGAAAAACAAATGACTGCACAGATTTGTCCAGTGCAGTCCAGTCATTGCTTCTGTTGTAGGGAGCATTAAACCGTTGATGAGGGTTTTACAGATATAAGGTTTTTACATTTTTACCCTCACAGAGTGCACGTTTATGCCGCCGTCTGTGCTGTACGTTGTTGTTCTCGTGTAGTGAACGGTCTGGTGCATCTGTACATTGTTGTTCTGTACGTCGTTGTTCTGTACGTCGTTGTTCTGTACGTCGTTGTTCTGTACGTCGTTGGTCTGTTCGTCGTTGGTATGTACGTCGTTGTTCTGTACGTCGTTGTTCTGTTTGTCGTTGGTCTGTACGTCGTTGTTCTGTTCGTCGTTGTTCTGTACGTCGTTGTTCTGTTCGTCGTTGGTCTGTACGTCGTTGTTCTGTACGTTGTTCTGTACGTTGTTGTTCTGTACATCGTTGGTCTGTTCGTCCTTCTGTACGTCGTTTGTACGTCTGTACGTCGTTGTTCTGTACGTCGTTATTCTGTTCGTCGTTGGTCTGTACGTCGTTGTTCTGTACGTTGGTCTGTACGTTTGTTGTTCTGTACGTCGTTGGTCGTTCGTTCTGTCCTTCTGTACGTCGTTGTTCTGTACGTCGTTTTCTGTTTTGTCGTTGGTCTGTACGTCGTTGTTCTGTACGTTGGTCTGTACGTTGTTGTTCTGTACGTCGTTGGTCTGTTCGTCGTTGTTCTGTTCGTCGTTTTTTTCTGTACGTCGTTATTCTGTTTGTCGTTGGTCTGTACGTCGTTGTTCTGTACGTTGGTCTGTACGTTGTTGTTCTGTACGTCGTTGGTCTGTTTTTCGTCCTTCTGTACGTCGTTGTTCTGTACATCGTTGGTCTGTACGTCGTTGTTCTGTACGTCGTTGTTCTGTACGTCGTTGTTCTGTACGTCGTTGTTCTGTACATCGTTGGTCTGTTCGTCGTTCTGTACGTCGTTGTTCTGTACATTCGTTGTTCTGTACGTCGTTGTTCTGTACGTCGTTGGTCTGTACGTCGTTGTTCTGTACATCGTTGTTCTGTACATCGTTGGTCTGTACGTCGTTGGTATGTACGTCGTTGTTCTGTACATCGTTGGTCTGTACGTTGTTGTTCTGTATGTCGTTATTCTGTTTGTCGTTGGTCTGTACGTCGTTGTTCTGTTCGTCGTTGTTCTGTACGTCGTTGTTCTGTACGTCGTTGGTCTGTACGTCGTTGTTCTGTACGTTGTTCTGTACGTTGGTCTGTACATTGTTGTTCTGTACGTCGTTGTTCTGTACGTCGTTCTGTACGTCGTTGTTCTGTACATCGTTGGTCTGTACATCGTTGTTCTGTACGTCGTTGTTCTGTACGTTGTTCTGTACGTCGTTGTTCTGTACATTGTTGGTCTGTTCGTCCTTCTGTACGTCGTTGTTCTGTACGTCGTTGTTCTGTACATCGTTGGTCTGTTGTCCTTGTCTGTACGTCGTTGTTCTGTACGTCGTTTGTTCTGTACGTCGTTGTTCTGTACGTCGTTGTTCTGTACGTCGTTGTTCTGTACGTCGTTGTTCTGTACATCGTTGTTCTGTACGTCGTTGTTCTGTACGTCGTTGGTTCTGTACGTCGTTGTTCTGTGCATCGTTGTTCTGTACATCGTTGGTCTGTACGTCGTTGGTCTGTACGTCGTTGTTCTGTACATCGTTGTTCTGTACATCGTTGGTCTGTACGTCGTTGGTATGTACGTCGTTGTTCTGTACATCGTTGGTCTGTACGTTGTTGTTCTGTACGTCGTTGTTCTGTTCGTCGTTGTTCTGTGCATCGTTGTTCTGTACATCGTTGGTCTGTACGTTGTTGTTCTGTACGTTGTCGTTGTTCTGTTCGTCGTTGTTCTGTACATCGTTGTTCTGTACATCGTTGGTCTGTACGTTGTTGTTCTGTACGTCGTTGTTCTGTACGTCGTTGTTCTGTACATCGTTGTTCTGTTCGTCGTTGTTCTGTTCGTCGTTGTTCTTTACGTCGTTGTTCTGTACATTGTTGTTCTGTTCGTCGTTGTGTACGTTGTTCTGTTCGTCGTTGATCTGTGCATTGTTGGTCTGTACATTGTTGTTCTGTACGTTGTTCTGTACATTGTTGTTCTGTACGTCGTTGTTCTGTACGTTGTTCTGTACGTTGTTGTTGTTCTCGGCGTAGTGAACGGCGCCCGGTGCGTCCGCCCGTAGCGCGGCGTCCGTGTTTTGGCGCTGAGGCGGTGAGAGACTGGAGATGGCGGAGGCGTGTGCGTGGGAGCCCGTCTGACTCAGTGTGTTCTCCTTATACAACAGCAGCCTTATGTAAGCGCCGGCAGTGCAGCGCAGGTGTGAGAGAGCGAGGAAAAAGACTGGAGGCACCGGCCGCCGCGGACGCTCACTCTGCAGCTCATTAACACGCCGCTTCTCAACACGGAGATTTACTAGAAAACATAAGATTTACATGAGAATTTCCATGAACACGACCTGTCAGTGTCCACATGTTCACCTCAGATACAGACTGTACTGAAAACTGTTCTAATGTTGATATTGATTGATACAGATTTTAAAAAACAGATAAAAAACATATTAAAAAATGGCAAATTAGATCATCATTGCCAGAAAACGCAGCTAAAATGTTTCTCCACAGCAGGATTTTTTCTCTCACACTGAACACTGCGTTACTAACAAACATCACAACCTTAAAAACAATAGAATCATTTCTTAAAAAAGCTTTAACGATATTTGACAGGAAATCTTTATCTTTTCATCATTGTCTCATACTTCAGAAATATATATTTGGAAAATTTCAAAAATTTAAATCGTCTGCTCAGTCTACAAGGTCTTAAATGGACTCGCTCCACCACAATCCGTGTATTGTTTGTTCATTTGTTTTTCAATGTAAAAACAAAAATAAGAAAATGAAAAAACAACTATTTTCTTCATTATTTGTCTCCAAAACCAAAATGAAAAAACAGATAATGATTTGTTTTTTCAGTTTTCGATTTTGTGTTTAAATGAAAAATGGAAAAAACGGATAACGACTGTTTCCCGTTTACGTGACTCTGTGACTGAGATGCCGGACTGAACCAGGACTGATTCAGGTCCGGGACCAGAGTGGGACTGAGACCGGGACCAGAGCGGGACCAGGCTGGGACCAGAGCGGGACTGAGAACAGACCGGGACCAGACCGAGACTGAGATCAGGACAGAGACCAGACCAGGACCAGACTGGGACCAGACCAGGACCAGACTGGGACCAGACCGGGACCAGGCTGGGACCAGACCAGGACCAAACCAGGACCAGAGCGGGACTGAGACCAAGACTAGACCGGGACCAGACCGGGACCAGACTGGGACCAGAGCAGGACCAGAGCGGGACTGAGACCAAGACCAAACCGGGACTGAGACCGAGACGAGACCGGGACTAGACCAGGACTGAAACCAAGACCAGGCCGGGACCAGACCAGGACCAGGCCGGGACCAGACCGGGACTAGACCGGAACCAGATCGAGACTGAGACCGAGACCAGGCCGGGACCAGACAGGGACCAGAGCGGGACTGAGACTGAGACTAGACCGGGACCAGACCGAGACTGAGACCAGACCAGGACCAGATAGAGACTGAGACCAGACCAGGACCAGACCGAGACTGAGACCAGACCAGGACCAGACAGAGACTGAGACCAGACCAGGACCAGACCGAGACTGAGACCAGACCAGGACCAGATAGAGACTGAGACCAGACCAGGACCAGACCGAGACTGAGACCAGACCAGGACCAGACCGAGACTGAGACAAGACCAGGACCAGATAGAGACTGAGACCAGACCAGGACCAGATAGAGACTGAGACGAGACCAGGACCAGACCGAGACTGAGACCAGACCAGGACCAGACCGAGACTGAGACCAGACCAGGACCAGACCGAGACTGAGACCAGACCAGGACCAGACCGAGACTGAGACCAGACCAGGACCAGACCGAGACTGAGACCAGACCAAGAGAAATGAAACTGAGTGGAGACACTAGGCGGCACAGGTTCAGTTGTGGTTGTTGTACCATTTTTAAAACTCCAAAAACACAAGCCACATACAGTTCTTATTTAAATACACTAACATCCATTTTATACTCACGTGTAGAATGTCTTTTCTTCAGGACTAGAGCTGTCAAAAGTCATTCATAAACTGACTGAAAGAGGCTGTGGCACTGACAAAAGCTCTAAATCCAAAGCAAGAGGCTCTACTCACACTAACGTCACAAACCAGGACGACGTCTGGAAACACAAGATGAAACTTCCGGTGTAATTCCTGATTCTTCTCCTCTAGTTGTGCGTCAACGGAGAAATGACAAAAACTGAAGTATGGTTGTAATTGTTGATTAGCTGAACATAACATTTTGTCAGACTTACGACCACGAAAAGAGCCTGCCAGAACGTCTTCCTGGTTTGTGACGTAAACGTGAATGGAGCTGATTATTGTTCACTCACAGAAGAAGGTTTATTCATCAGTGAGAAAGGCTGATTCACTCATAACACATTTGATCAACTCCAGCTCCACACTGACGCACTCCTGGTCTCCTCACGCTGTAAAGAAAGAGTCTGAGGCTGGAGAAGATGTGAGAAGATGATCCGTGCTCTGTGTTTTGCAGGGAGGGCAGCACCAGCATCCTGAACAATCTGCTGTCTCGCATGGAGCAGTACGCCAACAACCTGGAGAACCTGGTGGAGGAGCGCACGCAGGCCTACCTGGAGGAGAAACGCAAGGCCGAGAACCTGCTCTACCAGATCCTACCACAGTGAGGCGCTCTCTATGTCCATGTACTATGTCCAAGTCCAGATCACTGCTGATTTCAGATTAACTACAAAGTGAACCTATTTGAATATGTACTGATACTTTGCAGCTGACATCATCAACATTCCCTGGTGGTTTGGTTCTAACTGTAGGCACTGCTCTGTCTGAAGCTCTACTAGACTTTAATCTGAGCTTCATGGTGTCCCGTCCACACTTCATGTGTTTTATTATGTTTCACCGACTTGGAGAAAAATGTGGGCACCACCTGGAAACAGAGGCGGCACTACCATTAGGCAAAAGTAAGCGACTGCCTAGGGCCCCCAGACCTGGAGGGGCCCCAACCATTTGCCCTCAGAGCCACTAATGGCCGAGGCCTCCCCAGTATGACATTAAATGAGGGTAGTTTACTTTTAAACAATAATCATAAGAAAATAATAATCATCATATCTAATGGATGTAAAAAAAAATGTAATTGTACTAGAAAAAAAAAAAAAAAAAAATATATATATATATATATATATATATATATATATATTATATATTATATATATATATATATTATTTTTTTTTTTTTTTTTCAGTTCTGGTTTTCTAGACGGCGATTGAACTCATAAGACCAATCCACCATAATTCAAATAAATAGAGACGTGCATGTTTCAAGAACAATGAGGAAAAACAGACATTAAATATATAAAAAAAACACAAACTCAAGTTCACCTACGGCCCCCAAACTGCTGAGTCCGGCACTGCCCGGAAAACTGTTACTGTTGTTGTTTATCTTTGCAAACCTCAGGACGTTTAACAAGACTCGTTTAATACAAATGTGTGTTCAATACAGACCTCACCACAACACCGACTACTACACCCTCAGAGTAATACAGACACACTAAAGTACTGCAGTAATACAGACACAGTAAAGTACTGCAGTAATACAGACACACTAAAGTACTGCAGTGATACAGACAGTAAAGTAAAGTACTGCAGTAATACAGACGCACTAAAGTACTGCAGTGATACAGACATAGTAAAGTACTGCAGTAATACAGACGCACTAAAGTACTGCAGTAATACAGACGCACTAAAGTACTGCAGTAATACAGACGCACTAAAGTACTGCAGTGATACAGACACAGTAAAGTACTGCAGTGATACAGACGCAGTAAAGTACTGCAGTAATACAGACGCACTAAAGTACTGCAGTGATACAGACGCACTAAAGTACTGCAGTAATACAGACGCACTAAAGTACTGCAGTAATACAGACGCACTAAAGTACTGCAGTAATACAGACGCACTAAAGTACTGCAGTGATACAGACACAGTAAAGTACTGCAGTGATACAGACGCAGTAAAGTACTGCAGTGATACAGACGCAGTAAAGTACTGCAGTAATACAGACGCAGTAAAGTACTGCAGTGATACAGACACAGTAAAGTACTGCAGTGATACAGACGCAGTAAAGTACTGAAGTAATACAGACGCAGTAAAGTACTGCAGTAATACAGACGCAGCTTTGTTGAAAATCAAACTCCTAAACCCGACCATGAACGCTCGGACTGATCACAGGAAAATGAAAATGTGACATTTAAATCCATTTAAATCCATTTTCCATTTGGTCTTGAGATTTCAGACAGTCTTAAATCTTTTTTGACAGTTTTTGATAATGTGCACATTGTGTCACCGTGGTAACTGCTGAACATTCACATGTACAGATGTAGAACATGTAGAACATGTAGAACACCCCCAGAGTGACGTCACTGCAAAGTATCAATATCAAAAGATCATTATTCAAAAACTGAGTGTTTCAGTGAACAGAAATCAGACGAGTCTAGATGTTGGTGGTGAAGAGGAAGAGGTGGAGAGGCTGAAGAGGCTGATGTTGTGCTGCTGCGGTGCTCAGTTGTGTCTTCGTGTGTACAGGTGTAAGTGTGTGTTTTCTCTGTGTCAGTTCTGTGGCGGAGCAGCTGAAGAGAGGAGAGATGGTTCAGGCCGAAGCGTTCGACAGCGTCACCATCTACTTCAGCGACATCGTGGGCTTCACCTCCCTGTCCGCCGAGAGCACCCCACTGCAGGTACGTCCACAGGCTCCTGTTGTAGTAGAGCACCCCACTGCAGGTACGTCCACAGGCTCCTGTTGTAGTAGAGCACCCCACTGCAGGTACGTCCACAGGCTCCTGTCGTAGTAGAGCACCCCACTGCAGGTACGTCCACAGGCTCCTGTTGTAGTAGAGCACCCCACTGCAGGTACGTCCACAGGCTCCTGTTGTAGTAGAGCACCCCACTGCAGGTACGTCCACAGGCTCCTGTTGTAGTAGAGCACCCCACTGCAGGTACGTCCACAGGCTCCTGTTGTAGTAGAGCACCCCACTGCAGGTACGTCCACAGGCTCCTGTTGTAGTAGAGCACTAATCGAGACCTCTGAGGGTTGAGACCGAGACAAGACCGAGACTACGGCCCATCGAGACTAAATCAAGACCATTTTTGTCATTTTCTACATTTAGTTGTATTTTACAGTTATTTTGGCTCAAATGTATCAATGTTTTTATAAATCTATCTCCATTTGATCTGATAAATGTTAATTTAAGCTTAAAATAAGCCAAGCAAACTGTACAGCACTGAAACACACTGTGCCCCTTTTTGGAGCCTCACCCACAAAACAACTTACGTGAAGAAAGTGTGTCGGATTTTTAAATCTGTTTTATTAACTGGAGATACATTATTTTACTGGTTTTGCAAAGATACTGAGCAACCTCCGAGCTTTTACCAAACCAAATGTACATCGTGACAAACACAAATATTTGTGCACTTTTATTACTTCAAACTTCATATACATGAGGCCGCAGACCTGCTCCGTGCTGTAGACCTGCTCTGTTCAGACACTGTAGCATAAATTTAGATTAGTTCTTGCTTCACATTTCGTCTTGCCCTTCTTCACATTGTGGAGGGAGCGTGTGCGCTGTACACAGGGAGCAGGGAGAGCATGAAAAGGCGATGAGCGGCGCTGACATGAGGCAGATGGACAAGCAGGATATTTTACAAAAGTGAATCTGTCCTGTGATACACACTGGTACAGGAGCGCACACTCTGTTGTGGACGAGCTGGGTGCTGGGGGTGTGTGTGGTGACATGCTGCGCAATGTCCGCGGGCTCCAGATGAGCGCACAGGCTGCAGAGACACTGTGCACTCCCACACACTGGTACAAGTTTACTGCCGACAGCAGCGGCCGTAATGAAATATGATCAGACCTCGAGTCCGAGACAAAACAGACTCCAAGGGCCCGGTCCAGCAGAAGTAAACAGCAAGGCCAAAAATTCAAGTTAAAGCATCTGATATAAAAATGTATTGAACAGATACATATGTACTCTAGTTTATCAAACTGTTGACCTTTTTTCTGTTCCATTTTTGGTTCTAAAGTTCCATCCGTTTTAAACAGACCATGTATGAAACATGGAACAAAAATTATTTCCCAAATTTCAAAGACCTGCAAATCATGTAAATAAATGGATGTATTTCATCATATCTTGTGTTATTCCATCTTTGAACTGTTGATGAAGGGACATGATTAAAAAAAAGTATTTAAAATGATAAAAATTAGCTTGGAAGGACTGACATATTTTATTTGAAGTAATATTAAAGTATTCAGAAGAAAAAGGCGACAAATGATGTAAAATCCTGCACCTTCTACTTGTTTGTACAATTTTCCCTCCGTTACTTTTCCCTCCGTTACCATGAACTTTCTTAATAAAAAATCTCATGACTCAAAAAGTAAGAGATTTTTTCAACCTAATCTTGTACCATATGGTAGAAAACTATATGAAGCAAATATTCAAACCAGTTTGTTAAGGATATGTAAGTGAGAACCAAGAGTTATCACTGTTTGGATTTATTGACCAAAAAGTGCTGCATATTTCATTCCCTCCGTTACCGACATGAGTTTTTACATTTTTTGTCAACAACTTGAAAGAATATCACAGGTTTAACTTGACCCTGTTGGAGTGTAACTCTTTCCTACATTCTGATACTTTACTTATTTCAATAGTTCCTCTAGTTTCTCAATAAGAAACATTTGAATGTAAAAAATCTGACCCTGTTTCCCTCCGTTAACACTTGACCAGACCCAAGTGTCTTCAAGACCAAGATAAGACCAAGTCCAAATGCGTTCGAGTCCAAGACGAGACCAAGACCATAAAAAAAACAGTCTCAAGGCTCGAGACCAAGACCAGTCTCAAGAACAACAACGACCAAAGGGGTTACACTAACACATGCTGAACTTGTGTTATTGAGCAACACACTTCACCTCCCTGTCCACCGAGAGCACCTCACTGCAGCTCTGTCCAAAGGGTTAGATCTAACAAACATGGATCAGAAAACGGCATAAAATGGGCCCTTTAATTTCTATTTTCAGTGGCGTCTTGAATGCAGGAGAATAATAATTACAAGACTCGCACGAATCACTCAGAACACATCTCTGAGAAGGTTAATGATAATGGAAAAGCATTATAATTATAACATGGCCAAAAGCTTTTAAAAGTCGCTTCTGCATAATACGTCTCCTTTAAAGTTGGGAGAGGCTGCTGCTGCATTCACAATTAGTACGTACAAATGCGCCTAATATAAAGTTTACTCCAAGACAGAAGATCGGGGGCTAGTTTCAAACCAATTAAAGTTAACACCCTGAACTTAAATCCCTTTGTAATCCTCTGTGTTTGTAATTCTGCGTGCGCTCTGTGGCTCTGCTCCGGGCTCCTCTCATCTATCACAGATCAGTGTTAAAATATGCCTCTGTTATCAGGACAAATCACCAAACGCCAACACAGAGTCATTAAAGCCGGAGTAACCGTCAGCGCACTTCTGTTCGTTAGCAGCTCGTACTTCTAGTCAAACTGTCAGAGGCTCTTCATTGTTTCGCGTTGAAAGATTTTTGGTGAGTTTTGCTGAGACTCGACGGCTTGATAATATTTTAAATTATTGTTGAAATCTGAAAGGTCTTTTTCCAGCTGTGATACAAGTTCTCTTAGATCTGGTTTAGATTAAAGGTGGACTAAGGAACCTTTCTGGTGGAGGCTCTGCCATTTTCTTGTCTTAAAAATCCCTTTCAGTACAAACATAAAGGCACTAGCCCAGTAAAAATCTGTTTTATTGGATGTTTTTTACTCAAAATCAAAATGATGCAGAATCAGCGACAGTTATTAACGACCTCGTCCACTGTGCGACTAACGCCACCAACGTTTACAAGACGTTTACAGAGCTCTTACTGCGCGCGGCCTGTTTGGGTTTCCAGCAGGGTTGGAATTACTAAAATAAAATTAAATGGGATACAGCCCAAAATGTGAAAACAGGAAAATACCCCATGTAATCCATTTACTTCAGCAAAGTAACTGTAATCCAATTACCGCTCATTAAAACAGTAACTGTAACCAAATACAGTTACTCATAATTTGTACTCTGATTACTTAACGCTGGTACATGTAATCTGTTACCCCCCCAACACTGCGTGATGGTCAAAAGGGAGATCAAAACATGATGGCAAGTCCAGCTGCAAGCGAGTTGGTCCCCCCCAAAAAATACTTGTACTTCTGCATTTTGGCCACATTTCTTTACATTTTACAAAAAACTAAACTTAAAACCGCGTGTGACTAATTTGCATAAACTGTAAGCACTGATAAAAACAGCTCACTTCTTGTGATGCTGATGCAGTTCAACTTCTGTCGGACTAAAGGACACGACTCAGTGTTATATGAGTGTTCTTTCTGTGACAGAGGATGTGCTGCTGATGGTGAGTCTGTTCTGTGTGTGTCGCGTTGGAGATGGTTCATGTGAAACTTTTCAGAGATTATAAATCTGCAGGTCAAACACATAAACCGTACAGCGATGCGGCTTCGTAGTTTACCAAAGTCGTAATAAAACATGTTGATAATACAGTAATACTGTATACTGCGGTAAAATCCTGAGAAGGTTTAACAGTATCAAAATTTGGATACAGCCCAACCCTACGTCTCACTGACCCTTCAAAGTTGTATTTAGAGTGATTTGTGCATGTTTGAGTCATCTTTATTCAAATGTATTTAAGACGTCATCGCTCCGATCTACCTCCGTTTTCACCGCCACTGGCACAGGCCCACTGCTCTGTCCTGACTCCACTCTTGTGTAGGTACAGAACACTCAGGAGTCCCTGAGGAGTGTGATGGTTCATACGGCACTAATGTGTAAGAGATGTTCAGGAAGAGACTTGGACACAAGAAACTGGTATATTTTTAGTGGTTTTCTCACAGATCCTGTTGTGTCCTCAGGTGGTGACGCTGCTCAATGACCTCTACACATGTTTCGACGCCATCATAGACAACTTTGACGTCTACAAGGTGAGTCCCACACTGACCACTCTGAGGCTCACTACACTCACAAATCTGGTATTGTGGACACCTAAACTCTGCTCACAACGGCATTTCAAACAGAGCTGCTAAACTGCGCAGAACCTGGAGGACTAAAGGGGAGAGTCAGGAGGGGCGGGGTCTGGAGGACTAAAGGGGAAAGTGGCGCCTTGGCTTTCGAACTGTAAACCATCTAAGTCTTACATACTGTATGTATCATGAGAGTAACAGCGGGTCACTGTGCAGGTGGAGACGATCGGGGACGCGTACATGGTGGTGTCAGGGCTGCCGGTGCGGAACGGGAAACTCCACGCCCGCGAGATCGCCAGCATGTCTCTGGCTCTGCTCGAACAAGTCAAGACCTTCAAGATACGCCACCGGCCCAACGACCAGCTCCGACTGCGCATCGGCATCCACACAGGTACGACTGCGCATAGGCTCCACACAGGTACGACTGCGCATAGGCTCCACACAGGTACGACTGCGCATAGGCTCCACACAGGTACGACTGCGCATAGACTCCACACAGGTACGACTGCGCATAGGCTCCACACAGGTACGACTGCGCATAGGCTCCACACAGGTACGACTGCGCATAGGCTCCACACAGGTACGACTGCGCATAGGCTCCACACAGGTACGACTGCGCATAGACTCCACACAGACGACTGCGCATAGACTCCACACAGGTACGACTGCGCATAGGCTCCACACAGACGACTGCGCATAGGCTCCACACAGGTACGACTGCGCATAGGCTCCACACAGACGACTGCGCATAGGCTCCACACAGACGACTGCGCATAGGCTCCACACAGGTACGACTGCGCATAGGCTCCACACAGACGACTGCGCATAGGCTCCACACAGACGACTGCGCATAGGCTCCACACAGGTACGACTGCGCATAGGCTCCACACAGACGACTGCGCAAAGGCTCCACACAGGACTGCGCATAGGCTCACACACACTGCGCAAAGGCTCCACACAGGTACGACTGCGCAAAGGCTCCACACAGGTACGACTGCGCATAGGCTCCACACAGGTACGACTGCGCATAGGCTCCACACAGGTACGACTGCGCATAGGCTCCACACAGACGACTGCGCATAGCTCCCAGACTGCCTCACACAGACTGCGCATAGGACGACTGCGCAGATGATAGGCTCCACACAGACGACTGCGCAAAGGCTCCACACAGGTACGACTGCGCATAGGCTCCACACAGGTACGACTGCGCATAGGCTCCACACAGACGACTGCGCATAGGCTCCACACAGGTACGACTGCGCAAAGGCTCCACACACACAGGTACGACTGCGCATAGGCTCCACACAGGTACGACTGCGCATAGGCTCCACACAGACGACTGCGCATAGGCTCCACACAGGTACGACTGCGCATAGGCTCCACACAGACGACTGCGCAAAGGCTCCACACAGACGACTGCGCATAGGCTCCACACAGGTACGACTGCGCATAGGCTCCACACAGGTACGACTGCGCATAGGCTCCACACAGGTGCGATGGATACTGAGTCCTACTTGGGCCAGTCCATATGAAATCAGCCGTTGTCAAGGAATCTCCCCAAAGAGCCATCTGAGATTTGGCTGAAAAAAAAAAATAAAAATCAAAAAATGCCTATGAACTATGAAAGACTCTAAAATTTTAGCTCAATCCCTTGAGTCATTCCTGAGTTTTGGCCTGTTGAAATTTTGGGGACATGCTCACTTTTTCGGACGCCTTAATTTATAAGCATGTTTGAAAGACCATCACTTCATAAAAAATAGAGCTAGAAAGCTGAAAGTTTGTATTATTGTAGACATTTTTCCAAGCGATGTACCACAAATAATCTCCAATTCTCTTCCCTTATAACAAGCAATAAGTGTTTAAGTCTATTAAAGGTAATTTAACATTTCTAAGCTCCACTGAAACTTACCCATGAGAGTTAATTATCAAAAATTCCATTTGAAATAAACACAGTTAATAGTAGTTGTTTTTATTACTTTAAACTAATCTGAATATGTCAAAGTTTCTCTGGTAAAAATTTGATCAACATCTAACTGTGCCACATGAGGAACCGAGGCTCCAAAGAAGGAGCCATAAAGATCACATTTGGTCTGTGACCATGTTTGAGGCTCTACACCGTCCACATAAAAACTCAGAAAAGTGTAAGATTGTTGTCAGAAATGTTCATTCTCTCAAATATTCAGGTTCAGCAGTTAGTTTGTAAATATCTGCTTGGAGTAAATAGATCTTGGACCTCAAAAATTGAAAAAAAAAAAAATTTGAGTTGCAACCAAATGTGAGATTTTAGGAGCCCACAGCGCCGCCCTTAATAAAGCTACACAGTATTTGACAACAGATTCAGAATCTATGACCAAGAATCTACAATAATCCAAATTTTCAGTTTCCTAGGTCGATTTTTTATAAAGTTATGGTCTTCAAAAATGCTCATAAATTACAGATTCAACGAGCCACAACTCAGGAACGACTGAAGGGATTGAGCTAAAATTTTAGATTCTTTCTTTTGGTCATTTTAGACATTTTTTTCAGTCAAATCTGAGACGGCTCATGGGGAAGGGCGGCTGATTTGATATGGACCGACCCAGTTTAGTCCTTGAATGTTTTTGTTGTTTTGGAGGCGGTGGAGGTGGACGTGTGTCTTCTCCTTGGAGCTTTAGATGGGCATAAAGATGTAGCCAACAGCTGCCAACATTTGGACAAAGAAATATGAGCTCGTTAAAAGGTTCTGCGTTGTGTGTATAATCAGTGTAAACCTGTGAGTGTTGTAAAAGCAGGAGATGAGCATTTGAATCTCTCTTTAAAACAAAACTGTCTGCCGGGCACAGCCGAACACTGTCCCCTGTGTTTATAAAGTGCTTCTGTGTGACACGGAGCAGGGCCTTCTGAGGAGGACGCCCACCTCATTTCAACACCACTGGAATTCTCGGTTTGAAAACACACTGTTTTATCACGCCTCGTATTCTAACCAGACCCTCTTAAAGGTCATCTATTACGCTAAATTAACTCTTGTGAGCTTTGGGCCATGTTATAATTATTACTATTCTTTATTTCAGACACAAATATTATTCGGTCCATTATTTAAAAGAAAAACTGGATACAAAAAACAGACAAAGCACCCAAATTAGTCAATAAAGTTCATTAAAAAGTGTGGAGTTTCTGTGCCTGGTGCGTCCTCAGAGCAGAGGGGGAACGGCATGAGCTCGTTTGAGGATCGGTAAAAGTCTTTATGATGGAGTTTTCACACATCTCCAGGCGCTGCATAAATGTGTAACTGAAACTTCTGAGCACACATGAATCTAAGCCACCTCAACTAAATTTTAACAACATTTTAAAACTGTACTTTAAACATAGACAAATTCAAGAAAAGTGAATGTAACCAAGAGAATGTAGAGGCTGAGGAGGCTGGTGTTTCTGCTGCCGCGGTGGAGGTGGAGGGGCAGAGGAAGCAGGCTGTGATTGGCTGTGCTCCGTGTGTCCGCAGGGCCGGTGTGCGCGGGCGTGGTGGGGCTCAAGATGCCGCGGTACTGTCTGTTTGGAGACACGGTCAACACGGCGTCGCGCATGGAGTCCAACGGAGAAG